CAGGAAAACTCTAGCTACATCCCCTTACTGCATTTCTGATGAGACCAGTGTTTGTGTTTTGGTCTACTCTATATCCTGAGCTCCATCCAACAGCTGAGGCTACAGCTAATCAGATTACGTACTTTGTGAAGTTACTGTTTTGAGAATTCCCATTTGACTGGTGTTGGTTTCATTAGGTGCCTCCTCCTCCTCCTCCTCCTCCTCTCCTCCTCTCCTCCTTCTTCTCCTCCTCCTCCTCCTTGATAGGATTTCATTGTGTCACTCTGGCTGGCCTGGAACTTGCTTTGTAGACCAGGATAGCCTCAAGCTCACAGATATCTACTTGTCTCTGCCTCCCTAGTGATGGTATTAAAAGTGTGCCACCGCACCCACCCTAGCTAATACTCCTAAATGCGGAGCCATTTCTCCAAGCTACTAAAAGCAGTTGTATACTGAAAAGATGCCAGAGCAAGGAGGGACCTTACATGTGGTTGGTGGTGTCCTCAACTTGACAGGACTCACCTACGAAGGCAAGCCTCTAGGCACACCTGTGAGGGATTAGATAACTTGTGGGCCTGTCTGTGGGGAATTATGTTGATTAACTTAATTGAGACAAAAAGAGCTACAATAAAAGTGGGTTGTCTTTCAACTTGGGTCCCGGGCTGCATCAAAAGGAGAAAGCTAGCTGAACCCCGGATTTGTTGATCTCTGATTCTTGACTGTGGATGTCATATGACCAGTGGCTCCAAGCTCTGGCCACCGTGACTTCCCTGACATGATGGACTCTAGTTGGAGCTGTGGACCAAAACAAACCCTTCCTTACACAGCTTTTGGCAGGCAGTTTGTATGACAGCAATAGAATAAAACCCTACATAGTTTTGTTTTCAATCATTTGTAAGTTAGTATTTGAGAAATGGTCCCTTCTGGCATTTTTTAAAGTCAAGGAGGGAGCTTCCTTCTCAATACTCTCTCATTCTACTTTTCCTTGGCTAAAGATATCTTCCATGGGGCTTTTTGCTCATGTGTTTTGGAGTTGTAAGATTCAGAGTTTTCTTGAAAAGAGTTGAACTAATTCTAGCCTCCTGGCATAGAGTTGTCAATAGTTAAAGGTAATAGAAGGTATTTTTTATTTATTTATTTTTATTTTTGAAACAAGGTTTCTCTGTGTAGCCCTGGCTGTCCTGTAACTCACTCAGTAGATTAAGCTGGCCTTGAACTCACAGAGATCCCCCTGCCTCAGCCTCATGAGGGTGGGATTAAAGGCCTGTGCCACCACCACACGGCTGGTAATAGTTTTTATTGTTACTGGTATTTATTTTTTTAGACAGTGTCTCACTATGTAGCCTCAGGCTGGCCTCCACCTCGTAGCAAACCTCTTGTCCAAAAAGATAGAACTACAGGTGTGAGCCACCATGGCTGGCTGTAGGGGCAGTGTTTTTTTTTTTTTTTTTAAATTATCATTTTTTTAAGATTTGCTTGTTCTTAGATTTTATGTGTGTGCTCCTCCTTGAGTTTGTGTGTGCCAAATGTATGCAGTGCCCTTGGAGAACGTGTCTGATTCTCTGGAACTGGAGTTACAGGAGGTTGTGAGTTGCTCAATGGTGGGTGCTGGGAAGTGATCCCGGGTCCTCTACAAGAGCAGTAAGCACTCTTTTTTTTTTAGATGAATTTCTAAATGGTTTATTTTTTGAATTAATTAATTAATTAATTAATTTTCTGTTATCAGCTTGATACAGTATAAATTCTTATCTTAATAGTGAAATGTTTCATTGAGGCTTGCTCAGTAATTGAGTAAAACCAAAACTTATTATAAGCTACAGTCATCCTAGGGTTCCCCCCTTCTATATACATAGCCTCTATGATTCTGTGGGTTGCAGTCTGATTGTTCTTTGCTTTATATCTAGAATCCACTTAGGAGTGAGTACATACCATTGTTTGTCCTTCTGGGTTTGGGTTGCCTTACTCAGGATGATTTTTTCTAGTTCCATCCATTTGCCTGCAAACTTCAGATCAGTAAGCACACTCTAGCTGCCGAGCCACTTCTTCAGACCCTGTAATGGAGTTTCTCGTGGAGGAAAGGACAGTGTTCCTTTGAGGTATAAACATTTTCCTGGTAAGGCAGAACTGAGTGCATGTACCCATAGGATCTGCACTGGGCATCTACCTGCTTTTTGTTTCTTATCACTTATTTAGCAAACCCCTTTGTTATCCTGGCTGGGTATCTCTAGGGCTGAATCCCCAAAGGCTCTCAGAAGTTTCTGAGTGCTGACATGAACACCATAAATAGGAAATTCCATTCCATGAAACTTCCTTCCATGGCACAAGTTATTAAAAATAGTATATAAGTATCTGGGGTAAGCTCCATGGCTGAGCACTTGTCTATTTGTAAGAATTTAAATTTGAGTGTATGTGACACAGTGGATTTTGAGTTTATGCTTGGACCCCATCCCTAAAGCAGATTATGCATTTTCAAATATTCTAAAATCAACATCAATCAGCAATCTAAAAAATTTCTATTCCCAGGAAATATAGATAAAAGCTATCCAATTTGTAGTCAACACAACAACCGCATGGACTGGTGTCTGAGTTGTGATCCATATCAAATTATGTTCTTCTTGGCCTGGCGACTAGGTGGTCAGGGACCTGAGTTGAATCCTCAGAAATCAAAGCAAAACAAAACAACAGTTTTTCTTATGATATCCTTGAGAACATATGCAAATCTCCTACACTCCCAAATACAACAGTTTCTCTACCAGAATCACAAACATACTTCACTACAAAATCTGTGTGTGGTTGCATCAGTCACTTGTTCTGGATAAAAGCAGTCACACTTGCTGTTTATAGACATCTTTTTAATGTTTTAGTTGAAAACAAATAATCTCAGTAAAAGACAGCAAAGGAAATTACATTTTAATGATAGCTTGAAATGGGTATGATATTCCTGATTTAGTTGTTTTCAGGAAACAGACAATTGTTTTCCTACATGACTTTTAGAACTGCTCACTTAAATGCACATAATTATATTAAATTAAATTTCTCTTACAAAAACACAACCATATCATTTAAGGCAAAAAAAAAATCAGGTTCTGGGGAATTAGCATTTATGCTGTTTCCTTGATTTGATTGAATGATCTGTTTGCCTGGGTTTCATCATTCTTTATGGTTTTGCTCTGGAAATGGGTATGACATTTAGTTGGTTTGTGCCTCAACTCCTCTATTAGGCTTGTTTGACTTTCAGATTAAGAACCTTCTGGACAAAACTGAGCCAATGGGAGGTCAGGAAGGCACCCACGAAGAAGAAACTATTAAAGAGTCAGAAAACCTGGTAAAGCATCTTAAATTAAATGAACTTGCCATCTACAGATACTAATTTGGTTGAACAAAATGCAAACATTTAGATTAGACATGACAACATTTTTTAGTTAACCTTGTACAATGGATGACTGATGTAGGTATTAGCGTGATCAACCTTATGCATTGCATAAGGCAGACAAACTTGAGCTAAGAAAGCACAAGGCTACTTTGTGTGCTCAGCTGAACTGTGCTCCCACACACCCTTTGGGGTGGAACATTGGGTCTCTGCTAAGTGTAACCGGGAGACTACCCCCTCCTCCATTCCCCCAGAGAATGGCATAGTAGACATAACCCTGAAGTTTACGCGCCAAAAACCTATCTTGCAATGTCCAAGAGTTTTTGTGCTAGAATAAAACACACAAAATGGTCATGGCTTCAATGTACAAACATTTTTCACAATGTAGTTTTCACATTTTGCTTAAGACCACAGCAATGTGTTTTGGCTTTTGTCTCTTAATCTTCAGTCGTCAGCTGTGTTAGATGAACTGTACTGTGTTTGAGACCTGAGGATGCCTAAGAAGGGGTCCCCAATACATTCATAATTCTTGCTGCCAGTGGGGTTCAACCTGAGACAGTATCAGTGCTCTCTGGAAGCTCTCAGCTCCTTCTTCCTCAGCTATTATTTGGAGTGAATCTTGTTGAGTACCAGACAGGTATCTCTGGCTTTTGCTCAATGGAGGGATGTGTCTTGTGTATACACACATGGGTAAAACGTTTGAAGGGTACATCATTACTTCATGTTGGTTGGAGACATTGGTAAATGAAAAAAAATCACATCAATAATTGACTAGCTTTCTGTTTGGAAAATGAAAAGAATAGCTTTAAAGGCTTGATTAAACATTTTTCAATAGAGAGTAAAATTCACACTTTATCTTATCAGTGTTTTCTTGGGCCAAAAGATCCTGAATGCTATACTCCAGGAGACTGTACCATAGTCTAAGAAAGTTTCATTTGTTTGTTGTTTGTTTGCTTGTTTGTTTCTTTTTTGAGATAGGGTTTCTCTAGGTAGCCCTGGCTATCCTGGAACATACATTGTAGACAGGCTGGCCTTGAACTCACAAAGATCTACGGCCTCCACCCTGTCAAGCCTGTGGGATTAAAGGTGTGTACAACCACACCCTGGATGCATCCTAGAGGGGTGGAAAGAAGGAAGACTTTTAGCATTTCACCATTTGTCAAAACTGAGGCTGGGAAGCACATCTGAGGAAGAGAGAATTGCTTTGCTTGAGGGTGAAGGCTGGTTAAGGCCTGGTGAAGTTCTAGAGCAAATCGTGGTGAGGAGTCACCGAACAGCGAAGGGGAGGAAAGTAACGGAGACTCAGTGACAAGGAAAATTCTGCTGGGGGAGAGCCTTGAGAAGGGCTGGCGGATTGGGAGGACTCCTTTCTTTAAACAGATTTCACTCATTTGGCCTGGATACTGAAAGAAGCCACCCCCCCCCACCAGCCCCAGCACTAATAGTTGCTAAGAAAAAAAAATGTCTTCTTTCATGAATCCTTTGGTTGTTCAAGCCTAGCCAACTTTCCTCAGACTTTTCCTTCCTCTCTTCCTTTTATTTTTTGAGTCTAGGCTTCATATAGCCAAGGCTGATTTAAACTCCTGAACCTCCTGCCTCTACCTCCCAAATAGTGGGATTACAGGCATGCATGCTTACTTGGCTCTCTAAGCCTATTAGAATGTTATTACTTTGGTCAATATCCCTGATGGTCCAAGATACTTAGTTCTGTCTCTCTATTTTTGAGACACAATTTTGCTGTATAATCCAGGCTAGCCTTGAACTCATGATCCCCTGTCTCAGTCTCCCCAGTGCTGTGATTACAGGTGTGGGGCTCAGTTCTAACAAGCAGCCAGTATTGCTTGTCTTTTGAGAAATACATATATATATATAATTTGTTTCTTTGCCACCACAATACATTACTAAGGGGTTTTGATTGGCTGCCACATCCAATGTTATCTGGTTTGTGATTATAAATGTTCATAACCTGGAAACTGAGCCAATAATTTCACATTTGGGATAATATTGTCGGGAAGAATAGAAAAATGTTCACTATAGTATGAAAGTAAAGGAAGTTTTGTTTTAGCCTTTCCTGTGCAAAATGTACTACATAATAGCAAAAGACACTCAGGGCATATTAAAAATAAATAGCTCACAAAAATTCTCTGTTATACAAGAATAAGAGATGTTTAGGTAGTTGAACTTCCTAGCAATATTTATTTTCTAAAAAATCTAGTTGTTTTCATTTTGGCTTCTCTGCTCACTGCCCTTTGGGGGTGGGGAGTCCCTTCCTTTAATGTCACCCATGTGGTAATGCTTGTGTAGTCTTTCCAAGTTTTCCCTCCATCTCACGTAGATATCCCCTTCCCCAGACCCTACCTGCATGCCCACTAAATGGGAACAGCTGGTCACACTGGACATTTGAGTGCACAGGATGGGCAACCCTGTCCTTGTGTTCTCACAGAGAGACCAGCCCAGCGGCACAGGCTGCTAGACCCATCAGGAGCTCATAGGCATGTGAGGAGATGGACCATTTACAGAGTTGACTCCTCCATCAGAGACTATGTTTTCATGAAGTTGAAGATGCCCTGGGAAGAGTGAGTCCCCTGCTCCACTGGCCTGAACAGCATTCTCTGCCCATTTCCTAATTAGAAAACATTCTCAGCACAAAGGACAACATGAAAATGATGTGCAAAATTGCCTGCCACAGCGCTAAGTTACCAAAAGCACACAGATTGACATTCAAATTACATTAATAAAATGACCGAGGAGGAATGGGTTGGCAAAGATATCTGGAAATAAGCAGCCATTTCTGTTATATTCCAAATTCTGCTTTACTTGTGTTATTAGCAGTTGTTGCTAAGCCATTGTGTCTAAACATACATCATGGCCTAATTTTGAAAATGTACTTTGTATCTAGTCATAAAACAGAAATGCCTGGAATTTGAAGGTGTTTACTCTCACACTTTCAAAATACAGTGTCAACTCTTGCGATTGAACTAATCCCGACATCTTCGCACACCCCATAGCATCAGCAGCGACTGTTTGCTTGGGATTTTAGATTCAAGGTACATTACTAAATGCATGGGTTAATGTCAATGCACCTTGGAATTTCTGCCATCCCTAAACATGCATTTTCATGCAATTAAAAGATAACGGGCTTATAAGTTGCCGTTCATGTTCTTCCTGATTCTTGCAATTTCGACTTTTTAGAAAGGCTTTCAGAATAGTTCATGCAGTGATATGTATGGCTAAAAGAACAGCTATGCCTAGAAAGAAAACAAAGAACTTAGTTCAGTTTGACATGAGGCAAACTGAGGGCATCCGTACTGTCTCCTGTCTTACAAATGTTCTGAGATGACCGCGACCTTCCAGTCCTTAGAGAGTCCGATGTAAAAGCAGCTTCCCCCGAAGGCTGTGGGGTGCCATCAAAAGTATCTGTTTCTGCCTCCTCGGCACCCAGTTCTTCATCAGTTATAAACAATTTGGATTCTCTCCACTTGGGGTAAAAATCTTGGCTGCCTCTCGAGCCGCTTGACTCACTGCCCGAAAACTGCAAGTTCAGTTCCTCTGTCGACCTGATCAGGTTTTGTACAGACAAAGATTTGCCCAAGTCCTTGGGCACCATGGGGCGGACAGACAACAGAGTTTCCCCTCCCATGTCAAAGCTTTTCCGCAGGGAACGGTCCTTGGTCAGATTTGACTGGGCAAACTGAACGTTTTCCTTGGAGGCAACAAGGCAGGTGGTGACATCAGAAATACTTTCCTGTAAGCCAGTGGGGTTTGGGTGCAGAGTCTCCGGCCTGGACAGGTGCTTGATGGCTGGGAGAGGGGGTGGGATCTGTAAAGTTGTTGGGGCTGCTGGCTTGGCTGCTGCGCTTATTTGGTTTGCAATGTTATTGGTGGCCGCCATGGAGGAGCCATCGTTCTGACTCATTGGCACCTGTGTTGCTTGGCTGTGCATAGTAGGGCTAAGAGCGTAGAATGTCTGAGCACTGAACTCATTTGGCGTTAAAATGAACTGCAGGCCTCTCGAGATGTTGGCGCTGGCTGACCTTGTTAAGCAGCCGCTGTTCTGTGCAGAACTGGACAGGTCTTTGCTATCCACAGGACTCTGATAGTCAGACGTCTGTTCACATTCAAAAGGCGGGATCTGGAACGATGCCAACGTGAGGGCGGAGGCAGAGCCTTTCCGGAGGACCTGTTGGTAGATATCCAGCAGACAGTCCAACTTGGACTCGATGGACTGGACCTGAAAACGGGGGGAAAAGAGTTACACACAAGAGAACTCTCTCTTATGAAGGACTAACTTTACTCGTGGGATTTAAAAGGTGAAACAAGACTTTATTGACAACAGTGAAAGAAATACTATGAAGGTCAATGTTATGGAGTGTCACACTGGTGGTGACAGGGCCAGAAGGGGAAAGGGAGAGAGGGTTACTTGGCATTTGTGTGACCCCCCTTGCACTCCGGACTCCTCTACTCTTCAAAACTTAAGTTTTTAATTTTTTTTAAGCAAAGAACAATCAGACTGAAACCCACAGAACCAGGGAGGCTATGTAGCAGGGGGGACCCTAGGATGACTGTGGCTTATAAGACGTTTTGGTTTTACTCAATTACTGGGCAAGCCTCAATGAAACATTTCACTATTAGGATAAGAATTTATACTGTATCAAGCTGATAATAAAAAAATAAATAAATAAGTAAATAAATAAATAAATATTTATCATACAAGCATTGTTAAAATGCAATTTCAAGACGATTTTCAATCAGCATGTTTTTCTTAGCCATACTGGCTGATTTCCTTTCTGGAATGCTAGTGGATTTTAGTAAGAACCTAGGTATCAATCTAAGAGACTTTAAAGTTAAAGGTCAAGCCAGGTGTGGTGATGCACAGCCTTGACCCCAGCACTTGGGAAGAGGAGGCAGGTGGATCTCTAAGAGTTCAAGGCCTGCCTGGTCTACAGAGTGAGTTCCAGCCAGGGCTGCATAGTGAGACTTGGCCCCCAACACTCCCCCCCCGCCCCCCCACAAATAAACAAACAAACAAACAAATGAATGCTTTCAAATGAATACTTGGAATATTTACAGTTCCACTGAGAACACTGAGAAGACACAGCCTCGGGGTTAACAATCCATGTTTGCCACAACTGTGGTAAGGTTTTTAATCTTATTTTGAATGAAAGAAGCTAAAAGAAATAATGAAATTAAACAAAAATACACCTGACAAATAGACTTTTGCTGTTTTACTGTTGGAATTCTACAGTTGATTTCAGATTAAGTATTAATGGACAAGATAAAAGTTTATTTTCCTTCAATGGAAATCCAAAAGTGTTTTAAAGGCTTTGTCTCCATATAAGCTACTATCCACTTCATTCCTTTAATATGAACTGATCATTAGGATTAACTTTAGGAGGCCAGACCTGGTGGCGCACACCTTTAATCCCAGGGCTTGGGAGGCAGAGGCAGGCAGATCTCTGAGTTTAAGGCCAGCCTGGTCTACATAGCAAGTTCCTGGACAACCAGAGCTCTGTAGAGAGATTCTGTCTCAAAAACCAAAAATAAAAACAAACAAAAAAGATTAACTCTAGGGGTTGGGGAGATAGTGTAGGTTAAGAGCACTTGTTCTCTCAGAGGACCTGGGTTTGACTCCCAGCACCTACACGGCAGCTCACGACCGTTCACAACTCCAGTTCCAGGAGAGCCAACAGCCTCTCCTGACCTCCTTAGGCACCAGGCATAAAAGTGGGGCACAGACAGACATGCAGACAAAACATTCACACACATAAAATAAAAATTGAAAAGATTAACTTTAATGTGAACGCTTAAGTTGCATAGACTCAGTTTCGATGAACGAATCAGGGCTGAAAGGTAACTCGCGTGGTTGAGCTGTACCTGCTTTTCAACCTTGACAACCCGGCCGAGCATGCTGAGGTCATCCGTTGTCTCGTGTTCTGCTGTGATTTTCTCTCGGCTCTTTTTATCTGAGGTGATTTGCCCTTTTCCGAGAATTTGATCAACACTGCCAGACAAAGAAGATACCTGGTTATAGGCACTAAACATACAGGTCACACTAGGCCGGTGGCGTCATCAACCTTCCTGATGCTGCAACCTTTTAATACAGTTCCTCACAGTGTGATGACCTCCAAGCATAAAAATATTTTTGTTGTTACTTCGTAACTGTAACTATAATTTTGCTACTGTTGTGAATCGCAATGTAAATATTTGATATCTCCCATGATCTTAGGTGACCCCTGTGAAAGGGTCATTGGACCCTCAGAGGGGTGGATGTACCCAGAGGTTGAGAGCCACTGCTCTAGGAAAAGAGCAGTGCTCAAAAAAGGAAAGGCAAGCATCACATCTGTAAAAGGTGACAGTTGTGCCAATTGATCCGATGATCTTTGTTTTTAGAAAAGTGTCGTTTGCATTATTTATTTATTTGTGTGTGTGTGTGTGTGTGTGTGTGTGTGTGTGTGTGTGTGTGTGTGTGTGTATCTGCCACATGTGTGCAGGTACCTTTGGTGGTGTCAGATTCCCTGGATCTGAAGTGACCACCTGACCGTGGTGGGTGCTGGGATGGGAACTCGGGTCCTCTGGAAGAGCATCAAGTGCTCTTAACTGCTGAGTCCCCTCCCTCAACCCTGATTATGTTCTTAACACAAGGTTACATGAGATTAATTTTTCATCTTTCTGGTCCATGATGAAACCATTTATGAAGGAATTGCTAGAGGAAAAATGTACATGCAAGCAAAGTAACTTGTTTCTACCTTGGACCAGTCAGCTCTGAATTTAACGGTAAAAATTATGAAATCATAGTCATGATTAGTTTACACTGATAGAACAGGTTAATGAGGATTTATTTTACATCTGATATGTGGGTGATAAGCAGATGAGAAAGCTATGGTCTTTTGTAAAGCTCTACTGAGCTACATTGCTAGGCTATCATTAACATTTACCAAGTTCAGGGTTACAGATTACTACATGTTACAAACTACACTGACTAGTCAGTGGTCATGTCAACCCTATGAAGCACCACTGACATTCTCTCCATTTTTCAGAAGAGGGAGCTGAGATATGTGCAGGCTGTTTGGTTTACACCTGAAAAGAAGAATACAGTATATGTTATAAAGCAACCTTCCTGTTGCCTACCAAAAATGAATCAGAAATACAGAACTGAGAGGTTTTGTGTGTTGTAAGAAACCCCAGACAGTGTCCATACCCATTGCGTACCGTGTTTGAAGGCTTTTAATTCTACACAGCATGTCCAGATGACCAGCAGAATATTGTTCAATGACATCTTTTACATCATATGGGCGTAATGTTTCCTTAAACTTCCGTTTTGCCACGTGAAATTTCATAATTCTGTATAAACACATATTAAATATTATTTCCCACAACTTTGTCAAAATAAGTTACCAATACATTTATCAAATATATATATAAAAAAAAACCTCAAAAAAAAAAAAAACCCAAAACCTCACAGTGGTACAGATCTGTAATTCCAGTTACTCTAGAGGCCAAGGCAGGGGGATCATAATAAGTTCAAGGCTTGCCTGGGCTACATGTCCAGCTTGGGAAACTTAGTGACATCCTATCTCAGAACAAAAAAGGCCAAAGCAGGGCTGGGGATACAGCTCAGGGCTAGGAGACTTGTTTAGCATGTGTGAAGTCCTGGGTTCAGGCCCCAATACTGAAATATTTGTACATATATGAAACTCTGGGAAGCAAAAATCATGTATCAATATTTTATGCTTCTACAGTAATGCAACATAAAAGACAGGTTAAAGCGGGCATTACTAACATTTCATACGAGACACACCTTCAGTAGAGCAACACATGATAAAAAAAGAAACTGAACATTAAGTGTTGTATCTTTTTAATATCCATTGAAATCTCCAATTAAAACTACAGTCAAATGCAATTCTATGTGACCTTAGACATCCAAGATACCATAACACATAGGGACAATATCTCTTAAAAATAGAGCATGCTGGGGAAATGCTTCATTTGGGAAAGTGTTTGCCATATAATCACGAAAACTTGATTTCTGTAGTTATTGACCAGCCAGCATAGCCAAATTGATGAGATTTGGGATTTTTTTTCATCTCAAAAAAATAAGGTGAAATTTGAGGAAAACACTTGCTGTTGACATCTGAACTCTCTATGTGCTCACATGCACATGTACACACACACACACACACACACACACACACACACACACACACACACAAACATACACCACTTTCAAGCACACCTTCCCCCTTAAATAGAATAGCTGTCCAAGTGGTCTTTTATGTAATTACATGCTGCAGGCCACAGGAATATATCATAAGAACTCAGCTGGTTATGGCTAAGTCACTACCTGGAGGGATTAGGGAATTCCTCCAGAGGAAGCCAAATTCCAAGGAGTTTTTGGTGTTACTTGGCTTGTTATATATCAGCTGTATTCTGTTATGAAAATCATGTGTGCCTTCATAGTTTTTCCAATTGACTTTCCCCTAAGAAGGACTAACAGTGTAGACTGATTACTCTCTGGACATACACATTCCAGGTATTTGGAAAACAGCCTCAGGAAAGGCTTTCTCTGGAACAGGATTATCTCCCTTAGCCACTTTCAAGGACTACAGGAAAAACCACCCAGGTGGGCGCCCAACTTCCGAGGACTAACAATGATAATAGCCCACATGCAAGTCTCCTGACTTAAGGTAAATTCCACAAGGAGACACCACCTAGGAGAGGTGGATGTTAAGTAATAGCTTCACACAATTTAGCTCGGACCCTCCCTTTATATACTGGGACTTCCAGGGCACAGGTTGGAGGAGAGAAAAGAGAATGGAAGAACTAGATGGGTAAGAACTTGAGAGGAACGTACTGAGATGGGGAAGAACTAGATTGAAGTGCTAAAAGAGAGGACTAGAGGAATGAGATGGAAGATGAGGAAGAGCCAGATGGAAAAGAACAAGATGAGGAAGAGCCAGATGAGAGAGAAGGAGATGAGAGAGGAGTAGATAGGGGAAAGAACTAGATAGATGAGAACCTAGAAGGGACAGAATTAGATGAAAGAATTAAGATAGAACCTAGAGGGGACAGTAGATAAATATAGAGAAATGAGGCAAGAAAGGAGCTAGACATGAGAGCAGAATAGAAGCTATGTAGAGAGAGAACTATCACAGAATAATAAAGTGTATGAACTAAGGTGTTTTGTGTACATAGATTCATTTCTTTTCAAAGTTAATTATCAGCTGGCTGTAGATTCTTCCCAGACTCTGGGAGGGGACTATCGAGGGGCTGGACCCCCCTAGTGCCCGATAATTTCACCTTCCTTCCTTCCTTCCTTCCTTCCTTCCTTCCTTCCTTCCTTCCTTCCTTCCTTCCTTCCTTTCATGTGTATTCATATTCATATGACACAGCACATGTGTCAGGTCTGAGGAAATCCTGCAGAAGTCCATTCTCTCTTTCTGCCATATATCCCAGGGATCAAATTCAGGTTGTCAGGCTTGGTTGCAAACATCTTTACCTGCTAATTGTATGTTTCTTGGAGAAGCTAATGTATTTGCATATCTTGGTTGTTCTTTCTAAAATAATATGCTAAAATAAAAAGCATACTAGTTTTGAAATTTGTGAAAAAGTTCATAAACTATTTCTGCATTATAGTGTTGGATTAGCTAGCCACTTTTATTTGAAGCATAATTTATCAATGGAACTTGGATATAAGCATTTTTTAGGAATAAAAGATCACTCATTATGATGCCCTCCTTAGCATGAACCCCAGATTTCAAAAGAGTATTTCTTCAGCTGCTTTCATGATGCCGTCAGTAGCTCATTTGGTTTGATAATAAGTTCCTGCAATAGTGTCATAAAGTGCCTGCTAAGAGCAAAGGAGTGTGACATTTTAATTAATCTGTGCAGCCTCATTGCTGGTAAATGTTAAACCTGTTGGTGTTTTTCAACTATTAAATAGTTCACTGATTCTTATTATCACAGTCATGGATTCCAGGTAGGGAATTGGTCTCTGTTCGAAAACCTAAAATTTATAGTCTCTTGGAAAGATTAGAGTTTAAAAAGAAAATATCCATTTCCTGTCTGAAGTGATAGGTTGTTTCACTCAGTTCAAATTGCTTAGCAGAAAGCATAAACGCTATCTTCTAATTGTATCATTAACCTGTTAGCCTCAAATTAATTATAAGCCAATTACTTTTGAATTGCTCATCCACAGCATCCCAACTCTTTTCAACATATTTTTTTCACCAATCCCATTATTCAGGAAAGGGATGTTGTATTTGTTTCTTCTTCCTCTTCTTCCCTCCCTCCTCCTCCTCCTTCCTTTTGGTGTTTCAAGACAGGGTTTCTCTTTGTAATAGCCCTGGCTGTCCTGGATCTCACTTTGTAGACTAGGCTGGCCTCTGCCTCCTAAGAGCTGGGGTTAAAGGCTTGTGCCATCTCACTGGGCAATGTATTTGTTTCTTTCTTTTTCTTTTGTTCCTTAACTAAGACATTTCGGCAAAATTATTCAGTAGAAAGTAAAGAAAATCTAGGTGGGGCTGGGAAAATGTCTCAGCTGGTAAGCTGTTTGCTGACATGAGGGCCTGAGTCTAGATCCCTTGCATTCACACAAGAACTCAGGCACATCAGTGTGTATCTATAATCCCACCACAGGAGTTACCTGGAGCTCACTAGTCAGCCAACCTAGTCCAGTCAGGGAGCTCCAGGTTCAATGAGAGACCCTGCCTCAAAAATAAGCCAGCAATCAATTGAGGAGACATTCAATGTCAACCTCAGACCTTCACCTGTCCATGTACATCTGTGTGTGTGCATCTGTATGTACCACACACTTGAAATTGTACACCCACTACACTTGCATGCATAATACATTATGTCTTAGCTTCAATAGCACTGGGAGAGAGATTCTTTCCTGCTTTCTACATATTTTGGGAAGCAGAAGGACAATGATCTTAGATTGACACCCCAACCACTATGTAGCAAAGAACAATCATACCCAGGTCTGCCTGGCTCTGACTTTATGTCCTGACCTCCTATGGTAACAGTTCTGGAGAAACGAGAAGGCAGAGTGGGGTCCTCAGCAGTTCCTCTTTTTCTCCCAAGGGTAGGGGAATGTGGACTTCCGGATAGGGCAGAGTGCTTCCGCTGGCTGCAACTTGGGTGCAGTGGCCTCTGTTGTGTTGTGTCTGGCCTGACGTAAACACCCTCCAAACTGAACTACCTCTTTTTTTCCTTAATGAAGACCTCCCCTTACTTAATTGATCAAGCATTGCATTAGTTAGTTCTCTATGGCATTTATTTCAATTTGTGTGTTGCCTTTTCTACTTTTGGTTTTTTGAGACAGGGTTTCTCTGTGCAGTTTTGCGCCTTTCCTGGAACTCACTTGGTAGACCAGGCTGGCCTCGCCGGGTGGTGGTGGTGCACGCCTTTAGTCCCAGCACACAGGAAGCAGAGGCAGGCGGATCTCTGTGAGTTCCAGGCCTTTTCTACTTTTTAATTGTACATACCACAGCATGCATGGTACCACATTTTAGGATCATCAACACAATAAGAAAGAAAATATGGCTAATGTCTAAAAGAGAATAAAACTTTGGGTTAAGCGTCAAGGTGTTTCTCTATAGTCATTGCTACTCAGGAGACTGAGCAGAAGGTTTACTGAGTGAGGAGTTCAAGGCCAGTGTAGGCAACATAACAAGATCCTGTTACAAATGGCAGAGCAACAACAATAACCTTAGTTTTCTGTTTCTGGGACACTACTGTAAGTGTGTCTGAAATGATCTGTTCCAAGTTTGCTCTAAGGAAGACTCAGTATGAGTGATGCTCTTTGTCTATATCAGATCTCCTTTCAGTTCTTCAGGGACAGACACATTGTTCGTAATCAAGGTCGGAGGTAGAGAGGGGAAAACCTAGAGGTGAAGGTAAGCTTGAGAGGGCATGTATGAGTCCATCTTGCCATCCTTGCTTTCTGTGGCAGCGCCTCCTTTCTCTGGTCATCCCTGGGATGCCCCAAGTTGCCTCTGCATGTCTAACGCAGTGACCTGGATGGGAGCATACAGTATCATTTGCTGGATGCACAGCCGGGTGGTAAAGGCACAAAGTTGAACGAGACGTAGCTCTTGCTCTCTACAATGCCCTCTAAAATGCTGCATGACTCTCTAATCGTCACACCTTTCTGGATGTGTGGCAATGTGCCAAGCAGTTTATCTGCATCACATCAACTCAAAACTAATAACTTCCCACCTTGGCTCTCTGAGTCAAGGGAAAGCTAAAGAGCTTGAGTAACCTACTCCAAGGTCATACAACTCACAAGAGGCAAGCAATTGCTGATGTTAAGACCCACAGTCCACCAATTCAGAGAGCTG